CCTCATGGCAGCCCATGACTGCTATATGGTCTGGGGCGCTGTTGCCGGCGATACCACACACATATACCAGGAAATTGACTTGTCGTGCCATATTACCAATCCAGCGCCACCCGAGCGACGTGAGCGACACTAGCCCAAGCCCACCCGAGTCAAATTGAGGCTCGTAATAAGACTCCAGGAAATGAGTTTGCGTGTGAATCGGGGTGAATTTTTATTGGAGCTGATTTAATGTTCGCTCTGCTGCGTTCGCATCTTTGAGCTGAACTACTTGGAGCCTCCAACCCAGTTATAAATGAGTTGGCGATCATTCTTTAATGTCGCGTCTGTCCTTCCATGCAATTTTGATTTTTGATTTTTACACCCCAAAACATAAACTCGAATCAGAGCAAGAAAAATTTCAAGAGATACTCATGTTCTTAAAACTTCAATAACACTTACTTTCTTGACCATAGATCTAAACTTTTAAGAACATTGTATGCCGGTTTCAATTCCACGAGATTCTTCATTCAATCCCAATTAATTGTAAGTAACACTAACAGTATGATAAACACTTCACAAGAACAAGAATTAAATTTATTTTTCAATTGTTTTGATGGAAATCTTTCTTCTTTCAAGAACACATTTTTTTCAGGTGTAAACGTTGTAGTATAGTAAGTACTCTAATCAATGTGAAGTCATTTTCAGAACATCTTTCATTTTCCAACCAAATGTTGGCAAAAAGGCTTGAGCATCTGATTTGTTATTCTCGCTTTGAAATCGAATGTTGATGAAATCATTTCTGGCATAGGCCCGCACGCCAATGTCCGTGCCGCGAGTACTGCCACTGAGGGCGACGCTCCACTCGGCGACGCTTGCTTCTTCTCCTCACCGTTCAAATTCCTCTCCCGTCCAATGACCCGCTCCGCCGCGCCCCGCCACCCCGCGCCTCAGCCGCTCCGCCTTCTAGAACCGCGCGTCGGTTTATGGGAGAGAAGAGCGTCCCTCGAGAGAGTTCGCCGCCTGGCACCAGGGCGGCCCGTGACAGGAAGCGACGTCGCACAATACAAGGGCGCAGGATAAATGAAAAGTAAGTGGAATTCTGCAAGTGAACCGAGAACTCTTCCCTGGGATGTAACTAAGGTCCACACCTGGAGTAAGTTACTCCAGTGGTCCACAGTACTCTAATGAAACTTTAATTGTGCCCTACGCGCTATATCCCGTGGTTAATTGTCCATTGCCCTTGCCGCTTCTAGTAGTTTTGTTGAAACGCGCGCGTCCGGGTTGCCTATTTATTAGGGGGATCGTCGACGTCAGGCGCCTTGGGCAGAAGCAATAGGCAATCCCGCCGGCACGCCTGCATGCGGTACAGTGTACCTTTAGGGGCCACCGCGCCAACTGGTACCTTCTGCAGGTCGGTCGACCGGGCTCCTCTAGCCCCGCAAAGAGCGAGCTACGCGAGCTAAATGCCTACCCCGACCCCGACACCCCTCTCACCTGTCGAAGAACGGGTCTAGCTCGCGTACCTCGCTCTTTGCGGCGGGCTGTAACCGGACCACCAAACTGACGACGTGCCACCACCTTGAAGCATCGCCTTTGTGCCCACGGAGCGCGGCGCGGGAGAGGTGCGAGGCATGAGTGCGGGTAAGTTTGTTTGGTAAAGTGTATAAGGGACTCCTTTTACCGCAACTGCCTGTGAAGACTAGAGAGAGAGGTGGTCGCTGGTTAGGAGGTCCCCTCCCTTCCCTTTAGAGTTAAGACCAATCAGCACCCAGCTGGAAATGAGTCCACCACGAGCACTGCGCAGCACTGGCCCGGCCGCGGCACCATCGCCGGCACCGCCGCGCCCAGCCCTTCTGCTGCTCATCCTATGTATTTCATTTCCCGGGACCGCAAGCTAACGGGGCGGGGCTGTTGCTGGGCGGCGGCGGCGCTGGCGCTGGCGGTGCTCCTCATCGGGACCTAACGAAATGCTTTCCCCGCCCCATAATAGCGGGCCGCCGCGGCCCCGCGCGCGACGGGCTCCCGAGCTACAGCGCGGTGTGCGCGATTTACTACAAATTCGTGCCCTCGGTACACGTTAATTATTTGCGGCTACGTGGCCCGGCCCAACGGCCCGCCGCTGCTGCTGCTGCTGCTGCCGCCGCGGCTCTCAAGGCGCATGCGCGCCGTTCAGTTAGGACCGTCGACAGCGGGTGAGATTGTCTCTTCTCACTCTCGCACGCGCAAGGCTTGTCGTAGCTACGCCGCTGGCCCGCCGCGTCCTCTTCCATCGCGGCTCCCGCATGGGGGCCGATGGCACCGGCCGGCGCGGCGTGGCGCGGCGTCGTCCTCCCCGCTCCACCCCGCCCCCAGAGCGGCCGGCGTGCCAAGCCTCTACTCGGACTCTTATTACTTCCACAGAGTGCTTATTGAACGGAGTTCCGTCGCCCCGCGGCCCTCCCCTCCTCCCTCCCCCATCTTTGTCTCTCTCTCTCTCTCTCGCTCGCTCGCTCGCACTCCCCTCCCGGGCCGTCTGCTGTAGTACATCGCCCGTCTCTCTCGCACGCACGCACCAGACGCCCTGCGAGCGACACGGCTGCTGCTGCTGGGCGTTCCACTCGGAGGGACAAACAAGTAGCGTAGTTAGCGAGGCCGTGCGTCACGCGGCCAGCGTCACGGCCAGTGGCGGAGCACCCGGGGAGGGTGTTGTCTCTCTCGCTCACCACCCCCGCCCGGCAGCGCCCCCCGTCCCCCTCCACTCGCACGCGGCTGCCTCCGGCTGCTTCGGGGTTGCCTATACCCTCCTGGGCCAGTCTCGCGGCGGCCAAATGGCGTCCCCATTCATTTACATTTGGCAGCCACGGCATTCCGACGGCCGCGTCGGGCTGATCAGATCGACGGGCAACTGCCCCCCCCCCCCTCTCCCTCCGCCTCTCACTCGCTCTCCCCCGTCGTCCACCCAGAAGCGTTGTGGGCGCTGGCCCCCCCGCTCCCGCATAATGACGTACGCAGATGCTGCACAAGTCCATGTCATCCCACTATAAGGCGGGCCCTCTTATTGTACCATCTCTCCCTCTCTCAAACACACACACACACACAGACGCACACAGAGGCGCGCGCGCGAGCGTTACTTCCCCGTCGAGATGCTGCGCGATGAAGAAGGGGTGAGTGTGAATAATCCCTTATGCGTAGGTGGCGGCTAGAGGTGGCGGCCCGCACCCCGCACCCCCCCCCTCTCCTCCTGCACCGCCGCCGTCGTTTGATTAGGGATGAATCCGTAGATCGATCGCCGCGTTGCATTCTGGCGCGGTCTGACCCGGCGGGGAGGGGTGAGCCCAGCCTGGCCCCGCCCCACACCGGGGGTGCACGGGCACGCTACCCCCGCCACGCCACGCCACGCCCTGCACGCCGCGCCGCGGCCGTCCCTTACCCGCCTCGCCTCCCCGAACGAGCCAGCAGCTTGTATGTATAGATACTTGTGTAGCGAGTGTATTTTATGGTCCTGTGCCCGCCATGAACATTCCAGGGCCGACACGTCGATGCACACTTGATTTTATTTTGAAGCTTTAGTGGCGGTGGTGCGGCCGCGGCGGTGCGGTGTTACTCCGTGGTCAGCGTGTGCTCGACAGGTAGCGTCCGGGCGCGAAGCCCGCCGCCGCCGCAGGGCGTTTGGCACCGTGACTTGCACCTCCTCGCACACATCCTCGACTGGGAGAGACAGCACGGGCGAGCAGTTGCTGCCCGGGCCGGACCTGGTCTGGTCAGATCAGATGCTGATCAGAGCCTGATATCAGAAGGATTTTGATGGTGCGGCCCTCGTGCTGTGCCTCGCTGCGCAGTGCGCGGGCGGGGCGGGGCAGGGCGGGGCGGCAGAGCGCACGGCGATGGCGGGGCCTGGCGCGGCGGGGCGGGGCCACCTCCGCAGCACCGCGGGACGTGCTCCAGTTGGCAACCAAGTCGAGCCGAACACCGTTGTGAAGCCGGGCTGTCCGCGGCGTTACCCGCGATCTAAAAACTCAAAAGGCGCAAAACAAGCGCCGACAGCCCAACCAGCGTTGCGAGGCCCCCTCACTCTAGGTCGGCCCTGGTCCGCAATCATGCCGTGGGCGCCGAGGGCCCGGGGAGGGGCGCGGGGCGGGCGGCCTCCACCACCTGGTGGCCGACATGACATGGGGTCGCCCACCGGGCGGGGCCGGGCGGGGAGGACGAGTCATGGAAAATGCAGAGGTATACGCCACGTACGGCAGACGAGACGGCTGTTCTCGCAGCTCACCTCATGTCTATTTCAGAGGGGTGCGCGCCCGGGCCATGGGCGGTGCGGTGCGGGGCCGGGCGGGGCGAGGCCCCGTGCCCGGCCGTGAGGCTATAAGGCGGGCAGGGGATCCGAGCCAATATCTCTTTGTCGAGCTCCGGGAAAAGCATTTCTGAGCCCGCCTGCCCTGCCCCAGCCCGGCCCGCAGCGCCTGCCTGGTGTAGAGGTTTCGCTCGCACAACACAGAAAGCGGCGGCGTAGCTCGACTGCATGTGCGAGGGAGAGAGAAAGTAAACTGCTCCAATCCCCTGTCCTCTCTGTCCCTCCTCCCCTCGGGCTCCACGCTCGCACACGCCGTCTCCTTCGCACGACCGTGGGGGGAGCTACGCCGCTGCGCACAAGTCAGCAATTATTTTGCAGTGTGCGGCGCGAGTTCTGCGAACCGCCGCCGCCGCCACCGCCGCAGCAGCAGGCGGCGCTATTGTGTGCGAGGGAGGTGAGGCGATGCGAATACTGCTGCGAGCAGCCATACGGCTATAGGCGTGCCCACGGGCCGCCGAGCCGAGCCCAGCCCAG